CATATATTAGCTGGGTGGAAGATGGCAATAGTAATTTACACACACACACACACACACACACACACACACACACACACACACACACACGCACACACACAACTTAGTTTCCTCTTGAGCTGAGTTGAGAGTGGACAAATGTCCATGGAGAATGTCAGTGATTCAGGTCATGGTTGTCCAAAGGGTGCTTTTCAAAAGGCAACTGGACTTCTTTTGTTTTTTGTTTTCCTTGAAAAGATTTCATTTCTCATCAGTCAGAACTAAAGGAAATTCTTGGACGAGAAGTTAAATGTTTTCAAGGAAAAAAACCAAGGAAGTCCAGCTGTCTTTAAAAAAGCACATTTGCGCTGAGAGTAGGTAGATGAAAAGTGCATTCCTTCCATTTAAACAAGTAAATTTTAGGCACTGTTGACAACTTTCTCTTTAGCCATCTAACTACAAAATATATCACTCAGGGAAACAATTGTTTTCTGTCTTCTTAGAGGAAATCGATTGCCCTTACAATGCAAGACTGCTGGTCCTGATCTCTTTACACAAGCACTGGTTATAGAGTGTGGTTTGGGCTCAATGGAGCCATGAGAAGCTGGATTGAGTTTTGCCAAGGGGTGAGACAAGGGGGCATACTTGATTGCTATACAGTCTAGAGCAGGGGTCGGCAACCCATGGCTCTGGAGCCGCATGTGGCTCTTTCATCCCCCTCTGGCGGCTCCCTGTCTCTGGTCGGCTCCAAAATTGATAGGGCTTTTTGGTTAGGAACGGTAGAGGAAAAAGGACGCTGTGCTAGGAGGAGACTCTATGGTGGGGGAACCGGACTTCCGGTCAGCAGAGGAAAAAGGATGCCATGGTAAAAGGAGACTCTATGGTGCAGCAACTGGACTTTCTGTCAGCTCCAGAATTGAACGGGGGTCTTCTGGTTAGGACCTTTGTGGCTCTTTGAGTGTTTAAGGTTGCCGACCCTTGGTCTAGAGATTAACAATTTACCAGGACTAACAAATACACATTCCTAAGGCACAAAACACTTACTTGAAAACATTACTATATGCTTATGGTATGTTATTATTATACTCACAAGTTGGGTTGGGTTGGCTATAAAGAAGACTAGACTCCTAATCTCATAGTAATTCTCTCAGTATAAATAAATCAGATAAGTTAAAAAGTTATGTTCTTTGGAGAATGATATCACAGCAGTAGACACATTTCTTTATCAAGTTATTTTTGTCTGAGACTGGATCTTGGGTTCCTCATTATCAAAGGAACTCACTTTAAAGCAAGGGCAGATTTACTGCAGATTCAATTTACTGCTAAAACAGAAAAAAAAATCATAGATATCCACCTTCCTTAGCCTCAGTTAGTAAGTTATAAATTTATACAAGGCCAAGATTGCCCCAATTCTTTTACATGGAGCTGCAGCTTGGGACTTCAAATGGATATCACTACTAGGACAAACCAGTGGTGAAATTCAATTTTTTTTTAGTACCGGTTCTGTGGGTGTGGCTTGGTGGGCATGGCAGGGGAAGGATTCTGCAAAATCTCCATTCCCACCCCACTCCAGGGGAAGGATACTGCAAAATCCCCATTCCCACCCCACACCTGGGGTAAGGATATTGCAAAATCTCCATTCCCACCTCACTCTGGGGCCAGCCAGAAGTGGTATTTGCCGGTTCTCCGAACTACTCAAAATCTCTGCTAGAACCTGTTGTCAGAACCTGCTGGATTTCACCCCTGGAACAAACCCAGTCTCAGCATCTGAGAAGTATCTTATGAGGACTTCAGCTGATGCCCTCAGAGCCTAATTGGGAATTTATGCAATTGGTTCATTATCTAAAATCAGGGCATATAATAATTAGTGTAAAATTAAAGCTAAAAAAACCTGACAGATCCCCAAATATGTTTTGTTAGAACTGGTAAAATTTCAGTTAAAGACCACTTGGCTTGTATAGCTGGCAAATTATATTAGCGCTTTGGTTTCTCTGTGTTTTGTACAACTATAACTAAAAAGATTGGTGCCCAAAGAATTCAGGGTATCTAAGCAGAGAAAGATATAGCCATGCTCAGGAAAGTTGGCACGCTGAAAAGGATGAGTAGCTAAAATTGTACCTTTGAAAGTTTATCAAGTATTTCAAAGCAGAAATAACTAAATATCATAGGACAGTATTCAACAATATTTGAGCTGCTGGACACAGTGATTAAATATAGAAGATTTAATCAAGTTCCTTATAATGAACAGTCTTGTATTTGCAGAATTCCAGAGATGTAAGACATAACAGAGCTATTTTTTGAATATCAAATATAAAATAGAGTGATCAGTATCTTGGAATGCCCATTAAATAAATATCCTATTCAGATCCTTATATTAAAACAACATATTTCCTGTGTTGTCAGAATACCAAAAATATATTTAATAATGCCATTTATTTGAATAAAATAGTTCAGTTGAGATGAGGATATGTGGATGTTATCACAGTAAATCATAGGGGTGATTCAGAAATAAGATTTTCATTCTTTAGTATTGTTCTTTTTTATTTAATTTGTTTCTTTTATTCTATTTTTATATAGGGACTTGTTCTGCTCTTTATACCCAGTTTCTCCCCAAAATAAGACATCCCCTGATAATAAGCCCAATCGGGCTTTTGAGAGCATGGCAATAGGGCCAAGCGCTTATTTCAGGGTTCAAAAAAATATAAGACAGGATCTTATTTTCGGGGAAACACAGTAGACTGTGCCTTGATATGGCCAAATGACTAATCGACAATAAACTACACTAAAATGTCTTTCACAACCAACTTGGATTTATTAAAAGGTACGATTTTGGACTTGATCTGACACCCAAATATAATAGAGCATTCCTTATTGCTTTTTCAGATGAATTATGCAAGTGGTCCAGCAGCTCTTAGTGATAAAAATCAATTCCCATTTTTCCACCGGATGGTGCCCAAAGAAGGGATCCAGTACCCAGGAATTATCCAACTTCTCCTCCATTTCAGATGGACCTTGATCGGTCTCTTTGCTTCAGACACAGAAAATGGAGAGAATTTCATGAGAACTTTCACTCCATTGCTTGTCAGGAATGGAATTTGTGTTGTTATATCGCAACAGTTCTCAATGACTGGCCACACAGCATCCCTCAGGGATGCCCTCTCTAAGTGGAGGCAAGTCAATGTCTTCGTTCACTTCAAGGAATATGATTCCGTTTTGGACACAATTCTTCCTTTCCATTTAACACTTGAAGATTTGCCAGGACCCATTGAAGGGAAAGTCTGGATCATCTCACCCATTATAAAATTCACAATGGGAAGGAATAAACTTTTCAAATATGTCCATAGTATTTGGAACTTTGATGTCAGGGATGAAGAAAGTCCTAAGGATGCTGATGGCTTTGAACCCATTCTCTTTGTACAACCTCAGTTTCAAGACCAGTCTTTTCACTGTTCTTTTTCAAAGCAGTTCTTTTCTATCAAGGGCCGGAAAAAATGCACCCAGAAAGCACCACTGGAGACCCAAGAGAAAAGGAACAGCAACCCGATATCAAATGATCACCATGCTTACAGTATCATTAAGACTCTGGCCCATGCCTTGAATGCTGCGTATTCATCCAGATCCAGGTGGATAAGGAAGGCAGACGAGGAGGGGTTGGGGGCTTCAAGGCTGCAGCCATGGCAGGTATGGATTCCAGACAAGGATGCATCAAAGCTTGTTCCTTTGGAGTAGAATACAAATGAGAGGGAGGAGAACCTTTTCAGCTTCCTAGAGCTACAAAAAACCAACAGCTTTGGCAAATCTAACTGTTGGGGGCATAATGTTCTATAGAAATGATATTATGATAGATAGGTAGGTAGGTAGGTAGGTAGGTAGGTAGGTAGGTAGGTAGATAGATAGATAGATAGATAGATAGATAGATAGATAGATAGATAGATAGATAGATAGTATTTCTCTTTAGCCAGGTTCTTCCTATGTAAACCAAGATTTTATGCAGCTCTAGTTCAGTGAAATCACAATCCACTAGTTTCTAGGCTTTTTTTCTTCTTCTGGTAGCCAGCAGACCCTTTGCTGCCCATTGGGAGACTAATATAGATCTATTTTGGCCTTATAAGGCCTCATCAGTTAGCCACACCCTCATCTCATGTATCCTCCCTGTAAAGGTACAGTATTTCTTTTCTTTTCTTTTCTTTTCGTAGTCTTTATGTGTATTTCTCTTTAGCCAGGTTCTTCCTATGTAAACCAAGATTTTATGAGCCCTAGTTCAGCGCGATAGATAGATAGATAGATAGATAGATAGATAGATAGATAGATTTTTCACTAAAATCAAATTATATCAGAAGCATTCCCACAATCTATTAAGGAAGTTTAATTATACGTGGGAATGACATTGGTGATCAAGGAAATAATACTGCTCAGGAAAGATCAGGTAAAAGGTGGGGAGATGACAGCTGCACAAAGGCAGACAAAGAAACTTGGAAAAGATCCCCCCTTAACTTTTCAGACTTAAAAATGAGTTGTTGGGAGATTAGCATTTTCAGACTTGTGAGATTCTGTTAATGTAGCCTTATGATAAAGTAGAATTAGCTCATCTGGTGTACCTGGGAGAAGATTAGCTTGGCAAATTATTTCATGACAAGTCCACGCTTTCTACTAATCACCTCATTCTTTTCAAATAGTTTATGAATAACCTCTCTGTTTGTTTGTTTATTTGTAACCTGCTCTAGGATTATCCTTATAATTGAACGATTTTACCAATTATTTATTTTGTTCAATATACGTTATCTTTTGAAGATATTGATAAATCTTAATTCTCCCATCTATGCATAATTGCAGGTTAGACAACTGTAGAAGGAGGTTGCACCACATGAGATAAAAACCAAAGTTTTCTTATTTAAAATTCCTGTATGTTCCTATTTTAGTTCCATCCCTTTCTGGAGAAGAATGAGTTTTGCAATCTTTCCAACTTGAAAATGTACTTGGACCAAACTGGAGACGTAAAAGCAGATCTGGACATCATGAGCTGGGTTTTTCTCCCCAATGAGGAACCCATCCAAGAGCAACTAGGGGTTTTTGAAAGACAGAGACTTACTATCAGTGAAGATGCCCTTTCACGGTTAAAGTTTCTCAACAAGGTGGGGAAAATATTGGAGAGCATTCTTGGTTTCCAAAGGCTTAAGACCCATTTTAAGTGGGATAAGTATAGTCACCAAAGAGGATGAGCTTCACTGAGAGTTCAATGTGGATTGTACAATCTTTATAGATTTTTAAAATGGCTGGGGAGGCTTCAATAGCATTGACCAACATGTCCTTCAGTTCTGTAGAGATTCTCAGTCATCCAGGTCATGGTTGTCCCAAAGGTGCTTTTTCAGGAAGCTTCTTCAGCTCTGACAGGACAGTGAAGAATGGAAGAATTTATATTCCTTGCAGGTAGGTGGTAATCTGCATTCTTTTAGAGCAGAGGTCTTCAAACCTGGCAGCTTTAAGACTTGTGAACTTCAACTCCCAGCTATGCTGGCTGGAGAATTCTGGGAGTGGAAGTCCACAAGTCTTAAAGCTGCCAAGTTTGAAGACCTCTGTTTTAGAGGGTTGTTGAAGCACTTGGAGGTTTATCTGTTTTTTTTTTCTCCTTTTGGATGACTTTCTGGATGATTGAGAATCTCTACAAATTTTTAGCTATACAATTTGGGATGAACACCCTTGGAATGATGTGGGAGCAAGAATGGATTTCCAGAGGAAAAATTGCAGACTACAAGAACCAGAAGCACCACTCAGATGACCCTGAAGACACACAGATAAACCTCCAAGTGCTTCAATGACCCTCTAAAAGGATGCAAAGGACCAGCTGTCTGCAAGGAATATAAATCCTTCCATTCTCCACTATCCTGTCATAGCTGAAGAAGCTTCTTAGATGAGAAGCAAAACGTCTTCAAAAGGAAAAAAAAAACAGGAAACTTCAGTTGCCTCCTGAAAAAGCACCCTTGCTGTCTTTCAGTCGCTATAACATGGAACATCATTTTAAGCTTATATACTATGGCCATTTCCAACATGGGATGCTGAGCGATGATTCTTTAGGACACAGATCATGACCTTTGCATCTAGTATCTCCATAAAACCAGTGAGAGAGGTTCTCACATTCTGGGGCTCATGGTGCTGATAGGCTCAACCCAGATTGTTCCTTGGCAAAAAGAAGAAGGCAATTCTGTTGGCCAATGGCCAATATTCAGAGTGAATCTCATGAAAATGAATCAAGACAGGATGAATTTCAGATGTGCCTCTGCTCAAAACTCAAGAATGAAAAACCCCAAGTCCGTGTTTGTAGAGAAAGATACTTTTGCTGAGCCTGAACTGAATGCAACGAAAAGAAAGCAAGGTCTGAGGCAATAGGCACAAAAATTACATATTGAAAGCATCCCCAAATCTCTCTCCCCCAAGGACTCAATTTGAATGTCCAATCCACAACTCTCCAAGGTGTCATGTGGGGTGCTTCTTCAGATGGTCCCATCTATCTGGTATGCCAGAAGGGTTGACCTTAAGTGGGTATCAGCACTCCCTGCAGCTGCTAGGAAGACAGTGAGAATTGTCCTCCCTTTCATGAGACATCTCCACCAGCTCACTTCCCCCCTCCCAAATACCTATACCTCCCCCCTCCCATTACTATGGCAGCCGAAAGCAAGCAAGCATCATAGAGGCTGACAAGGGGTCCTGTGGGTCCCAGTGGGAAATAAGCTTTTAATTAAGATTCACTTTGTCCTGGCTCTGGACAGCGTCCCATGAAAGAGCAGGTCCATGCTGTCTATGATGCTTTTAGGCAACCCAGACATGAACAGATGGACAATGTTTAACATAGTCTAGAAGAAACCTTTCTAGAACCTATTGGTGAGAACTTTCTTCCTTCATCAGTTTTGTTCTATTTTAATAAATATAATACAATAATACTTAATCAATCTTTAAGAACAAATTTAACTATAAAATTTCAGATGGGATCTGAAATAGGCCCCTTTCACTGGAACAAGTGAGATGGGCCAATCCAGTTGGGTGATACTTCACACTGAATTAAATGAAGCCCAAAGACTACTTGACTTGTCTACCTCAATTTTCTGTGAATGGTGAATCTCAATATAGTTTCTTCGGCATTCCTTGTTTTTCTACTTAGTCTCTGCCTCAGTCCAAATGTGGGGAAAAATGTCATCCTGGATTTGTCAAGAGGGCTCGAGAAGGAGAGCCAGTTTGCTGCTATGACTGTGTTCCTTGTCCGGAGGGAACCATCTCCACTCAGGAAGGTGGGTGACACTGAAAACCTTGCAGAAATGGATTAATCCAAAGCACTTTGGTGACAGTGCATGTTGAAAGAGGCATTGTGGCTCAACTGTTCTCCTATTTATTATCAAAATCCCCTATATTTATTTTCCTAGGAACATAAGAGGACTTTGAAATTTGAAGAACTGTCTCAAGTCAACCTCTTGAAAAGATTATTCTCATGCATTCCACATGAGTCTTTTCTTGGGGATCACTAGAAAGGTATCACTGGTCAACAGTGAAGTGGCGTGGACACATATGGGTCAGTAGTGGGTTTCAAATCCCCGGCGCTACCAGTTTGCTCTTGGGAGCGCACGGGCACGCACACATGCTTCGCAAGCACGCAGCGTTTCTGCGCACGCACAGAAAGTTCTGCGCATGCGCAGAGCATTTTTGATGACGTCTGGGAGGGTGGGAGGAGCCTCCCACCACCACCACTGCTGGTTTGCCTGAACCAGGGCGAACTGGTAGCAACTCACCACTGATATGGGTGCTGTTCTGCCCCAGCTACGGACCCCAAAGAACGCAGCACACACAAACTCTACACCAAGCTTATTTTACTCAAATAACTCAGTCTTTATCAACCAAAGGCTGTTAATAAACTGTCTTAATAGCCTACAAGAATTCTAAGATAAGGTAATCACAGTCTTACTAGAGTTGGCAGAAAGCCCAGAAGTAATCCAGACACAAAGGAAAGTGAACTAAAGTTGTTCCCTACAGCTTGCTGCAAGCAGCGTTCCTGCTTAAATAGGCTAAGGCGGTGGCCAATTAGCCCCAAGCCTTACTCTCGAGGAGACCTCCTCCTGAGGAGCCACTCCTGCCTTTTGGCAGCTCTGTGTGCCCGTGCATTGAGAAGAGGCTCCTCCTCTTCGTCCTATTCACTTAAAGGAGCTTCTGGAGCTTCTGAAGGCCCTGGCTGAATCCCTGCCTCTGGCACCACATCTTCTCCAGCCTCCTCACTGTCTGACTTGAGTGCCAGCTGCACCACACCAGCCTCCTCTTTGTTGGAATCGGCTACGATCTGCACAGGCCACTGACGGGCCACAACAGGTGCACTTCATTACACCCATATTGCAACAGGTCCAAGTAGTCATTCCAGATTATTAGCAGGACTAGCTTTCTCTGTGAGCCAACTAGATTTTATGAGAGAGACATCCTCTGAGTTCAGTATATTAAAAAGTGTCATTAATTACTTTAATAATCTAGGTTGCTATGAAGGTTCTGTACATTACACAGGAAATCTTTCACTTCCTAGGACTTCCCCATATTTCACAGATCTTAGCTATGTGATGATATTCATCTTAACATTTTTCTGTGGAATTGTTAAGAAATGCATCTTGGAACATTGTCCCCATATCAGCTGTTTTCCCAATAAGTATTTCTTGAAAGGTAAAAGTGAAGAAACTTATATAGAAATACTGTTTTTGGTTTTATCAGATATGGAAAAATGCACCAAATGTCCAAATGATAAATATCCAAATGAGGACCAAGTCCAATGTATCCCCAAAAGAATAACCTTCTTGACTTATGAAGAACATCTGGGATCCATCCTGGTCTCATTTGCCCTATTTCTGTTCCTAACCACAGCTCTTCTTTTAATCATATTTATTAAATACCGAGAAACTCCCATTGTCAAAGCCAATAACCGGCACCTCTCTTACATTCTCCTGGTTTCCCACCTACTTTGCCTCTTGTCCCCTTTTCTCTTCATTGGTCAACCAAGGAAAACCACCTGCCTTCTCCGACAAACATTTTTCAGCATTATCTTCTCAGTTGCCATTTCTGCTCTCTTGGCCAAAAGCATCATGGTGGTGCTGGCTTTCATGGCCACAAAACCAGGCAATCGAGTGAGGAGATGGTTGGGGAAGAGCTTGGCCAATGCCATCATCCTTTCTTGTTCTGCAATCCAAATGATCATCTGCTCTATCTGGCTAGGTGTTTCTCCACCATATCCTGACTCTGACTTCCATTCCCAGCCTGGAGAGATCATCCTGCAATGCAACGAAGGGTCTGTTGTCATGTTCTACATCACCCTCAGCTACATGGGCTTCCTGGCTGCCATCTGCTTCACAGTAGCTTTCCTGGCCAGGAATCTTCCAGGGGCCTTCAATGAAGCCAAGCTGATCACCTTCAGCATGCTGGTCTTCTGCAGTGTCTGGGTGACTTTTGTGCCCACCTATCTGAGCACCAAAGGGAAATATATGGTGGCTGTGCAGGTCTTCTCCATCTTGTCCTCCAATGCTGGTCTGCTAGGCTGTATCTTCCTCTCCAAGTGCTACATTATCATTTTGAAGCCTGATCTGAATAGAAAGGAGCAGCTTACAACCAGAAGAAATGTAAAAATTTGACAGAGGAATTTCAAATCTCAACATATTCCAACAGGCCACACCTAGAAAATGGTCCAAGTTGTTCTCCATAAATGAGTGGCCCAACAATTTTGCTTGAAATAATTAAAGGGCAGCTGGAAGTGTCCCCAATATTTGTCCAGTGAAATTTGAAGATGTCCTCAGAGCTCTGTTGAACTCTCAAAGGAGCTTATCTGTCCTCTGCCCTTAGTTTACTTGCGGTCTGAGATACCACATTCAGGTTTGTGAAATATGGCATTTGTGCAATAAGAGTCCTGTTAATATGGCAGCAACATAGTAGAGATATTTACAACAGGAACTTATGAACTTTGAAAATGAGAAGTAATTGTTGGGGAAGTTCCCAATTAAAATCTGAGGAAAGTTTTTATTATTAAGAACCAAACCAGGATATTTGATCCTGGACTCAGAATGATTGGGGTGATTTGTGGTAAATAAGAAATCATGTAAGACTTTCTACAAGTAAACTACAATAACCAAGTGTTTTAAACTTCAAACGTTAACTTTGCTGTTGTTTAACCTGTAAACTAGTTTTTCTTTCATGTATGTAATGTGTGACAGGTCTATTGGATTGCAAATAGACGTACAAATTTATAAATTTTGGATCTGCCTTGTAAGGGGGTGGGGTGGGGGGAAGCTATTCTTGTTGCAATAGATTTGTTAGTGTTCAACCAGGGGGGATGTCCTTTGTTTTTTTAATTCATATTTTTAATGTTTTGTCTAGTTTTGTTTTGTCTCTCTTTAATTTTTTCCAGCATGGCTCTTTCTAGTCAATCTCACTTGTAAATCATTCAGTGTGATGGAGCTGCATTCCCTCCATCTGCAGTTCTAACATTCTTTTCTTCTTATTCCACTTACTGGAATATATTGTAGGACCTGACCAATTTCTTGAATCATTTTGATTTTCCAAGACTTCCTTTTTTTGTTTTTTGGTCCTATTTTGTAGAAAAAAATAAAGATAGGGAAAAAAACCTGAAAAAGTCTAACTTATGTACCGTGTGACTAGCATTTGCATCTGATTTTGGCTTAAGATTTAGAAGGCTTGTGGAAACTAAGATAATTAAATTGAAAAGTCCAAGGGATCTTGGAGTCATAGTGGACAATCACTTAAATATTCGCCAAAACAGTGTGTGGCAGCAGCCAAAAAAGCCAATGCGGTCCTAGGCTGCATTAATAGAGAGAAAGAATCAAGATCATATGAAGTTTTAATAACACTTTACAAAGCCTTAGTAAGACCACACTTGGAATACTGCATCCAGTTCCGGTCACCACAATTCAAAAAAGATGTTGAGGCTCTGTAAAGGTCCCTTCCGACTCCATTACTCTATGTTCTTCTGTGCCCATTCCCTTCCCTTTCTATATGTGTGTGCCTTCAAATTGGTTTTGACGATTGATACCTAAACAGTTTTCTTGGCAAACGTTCTAGAGATGGTTTTCCCTTGCCTCCTTCCTAGGACTGAGAGAGAATGACTGGTGCAAGGTCACCCAGCTGCATTTGTATATTAGGTAGGGCTAGAACTCACATTCTCCAAGTTTTTACCCTGAGGCTTTAACCACTACACCAAACTGAGTCTCTTTCCTCTCCCATCAAAGCTCTCAGTCTACAGTGTCAATCACTGGGAGGCCACCCAACCTCTGCATTGCCAGAGCACTGTTTTTTAACCCCATGCAAAACCACCTGGATCCTAACATATGAGGTAATCAGGAGACATGGATTCTGGGTCCTGCATGATTTGCATGCCCATCACTTTACCACTTAATTTCTTATCACAATCCAGGGGTAGAATGCTGGCCCTGCAGACTAAACTGGCCAGGCAGATACAGGAGATATGGGAGACAAGAAAGTCTTTAAGCACTATGACCTATGCCATGCAGGGTTTTATTGGTAGTATCCAGCACCTTGAATTGCACCCGGAAACAACCTGGGAACCAGTACAGTTCATGAAGGACAGGTGTAAGATGGGTGTACTGAGGCATGCTTATCACTTGTCTGTTCCACTGTAATCTGGACCACATGAAGTTCCCAAGTGATCTTCAAGGGCAGTCCCATGTAGAGCAGCCAAGCTCTGTAGTGAGCAGAGCATGAATGATGTTCTGAAGTGTCCTCTGATCTAGGAAGAAAATTAGAAGATAGAGAAGTTAAGCTTGGTGTTATCCACACAGAGTAGCCTCAAACTCCAAAAGTCTGGGTGACCTTCCTCAAAAAGGATTGGAGACAAAATAGTATCTTGCAGGACCTCATAAGTCTACTTTGGTGTTCAATGAGCATCCTCCGCATTACTTTTTGGACAGATCCCAAAGGAAGAATCAGAACCCCTGTACTAAACTATGAACCCAGGGATGTATCTATGTTTTTCACAAACAAGCTTTTCTCCAGCCATGTCACTGCACAGGGAGCCCCAGAAGATATTCAAAGTCCCACAGAAGACATGTTGCTTTTTTTTTTTGAATTTTTTTTAAAAAAACCATAAACATAAAATACATCTTTGTAGAATGAAGCATTGATCCAGTCATAAATTGGTACAATCACTAATTCATCTTTAACAACAATTTTTTTTCTAATTTCCACCAATTACTTACAGAAAATAAAAACAAAACAAACAGAGAAATAAAGATTAACTCATAATGACTTACTCAAAACAATTACCTTTCTATTATTTCACCTCAGATCTTAGTTTCCAAATAACTTAAACAACTTAATATTTTACACAATTGTTTCCCTAAATTCTATCTATTTAATAATACCATTATCCAAAACCCCGTTACTTAAATCTTTAAATCCTAACCCAATATCATTTCATTTTCTTTTTCTTTTTGCTTAGATGAATGTATCTTAAAAATATAAATCATTACAATTATCATAAACAATATCTTAACTGTTACTCCCAACATATCATCTTCATTGCTGTTTATCTCAACATAATCATCCTAGTTTTACTGTTAATCCCAGCATAATCATCTTTATTTTAATTGTTTATCGCAGCACATCATCTTCATCTTAATCATAATTTTTTACTGTTGAACCCAGCATAATCATTTATTTTTACTGCTATTCCCAGCATAATCATCCTTATTTTTACAATTAAACTCAGTATAATCATTTTTATTTTTGCTGTCAATCCCAGCATAATCATCTGAATTTTACTGTTAAACCCAGTATAATCATTTTTATTTTTGCTGTCAATCCCAGCATAATCATCTGAATTTTACTGTTAAACCCAGTATAATCATTTTTGTTTTTGCTGTCAATCCCAGCATAATCGTCTGAATTTTACTGTTAAACCCAGTATAATCATTTTTGTTTTCTTTTTTGAATTGTGGTGACCAAAACTGGATGCAGTATTCCAGTTGTGGTCTTACTAAAGATTTATAAAGCAGTACTAATACTTGAAGGGACACGGTGGCTCAGTGGCTAAGACTCTGAGCTTGTAGATCAAAAGGTCAGCAGTTCAGTGGTTCAAATCCCTAGTGCCACTTAAAGGGGGGAGCTCCCATTACTTGTCCAAGCTTCTGCCAACCTAGCAGTTTGAAAGCACGTAAAAAATGCAAGTAGAAAAATAGGGACCACCTTTGGTGGGAAGGTAACAGCGTTCCATGCGCTTTTGGCATTTAGCCATGCTGGTCACATGACCATGGAGACATCTTCAGACAACGCTGGCTCTTCGGCTTTGAAACAGAGATGAGCACTGCAACCTAGAGTGAGGAATGACTAGCACATATGTGCAAGGGGAACCTTTACTTTTTACTAATATTTGATGTGATTTTGATTCTATGCCTCTGTTTATACAATCAAGGATTGTGTTAGCATTTTTGGCTGCTGCTGCACACTGCTGACTTGTGTTTAAGTGACGTCCATTAGGACTCCAAGGTCCCTCTCACAGTTCCTATTTTTGAACCAAGTTTCGCCTGATCTGTACTTGTACCTTTGGGTTTTTTTGTGACCTCCTTTATGGTTCCCTATAAATGATCAATTTTGTAAATTATATTTTCTCAATCTATGATTCACAAATTTTGCTGAACCTTTGTTCAGCACATTGCAAGATAGTGGTACCATGCGTCTTCTCAATTCACAATGCTTGCAAGGAAGACAATCATAGAAACAATATTCAAATGCGGGGAGAAAAAAACCCACCAAGGTCTCTGCTTTTAAAACTGCTAGGTGTTTCTATCCTAGTTCCATCCCTTATCCTCCAATCACTCTCCAGGCGTCTTTTTCGATGCTTCATCTCTCTCAGCTCCTTGGAAAACCAAGGAGCTAGATGAGATCGGCATCGGGTCAGAGGCCGCAAAGGCACGACGCGGTCCAAGGCCCCAGTAGCCGCCCTGTCCCAGGCGACCACCAGGCCCTCAGTCGAGTCGTGAGCCAGAGTCTCAGGAAATGGCCCAAGCTCCGTCAGGAACCTTTCGGGGTCCATCAGGCGCCTGGGACGGAACCATTTGGTTGGTTCCGTCTCCCTGCGGTGGTTGGAAGTGACTTGAAAGTCCATGTGAAGGAGAGAATGATCAGACCATGACAAGGGCTTGATGTCTATATCCCCTATTCTTAGATCATTCAGCCGCTGATCAGAGACAAAAATCAAGTCCAGAGTGTGATTCCCCAAGTGGATGGGGCCTTTAACTACCTGGGTCAGGTCCATGGCTGTCATGGAAGCCATGAACTCCCGAGCCGTCTCCGACATCTCACCAGTGGATGGCAGGTTAAAATCCCCCATAACAATAAGTCTGGGGGTTTCCACCGCCACCCCAGCTATAATGTGGAGCAGCTCTGGAAGGACAGCTATTACGTGGCAGGGAACCAGGTACGCAATCAGTAGGCCCATCTGAATCCCCTGACCCCACTTCACAAGGAGGGACTCACATCTGGCTATCTGAGGAACAGTGGCCTCCCTCGGGCAAAGACTTTCTCTGCTGCCACTCCCCCACCCCTTCCCTGAGTCCTTGGCTGATGGAATGCATGGAAACCTGGTGGTCACATTTCCACAAGGGGAACTCCTCCATCCTGACCTAACCAGGTCTCCATAATCCCTGCCAGGTCAGCACCCCCCTCTGAAATAAGATCATGAATGAGGGGGGCTTTATTTATCACTGACCTGGCATTACATAACATCAGCCATAGACCCAGGGTCTGAGACTCTGAACAACCTGGGAAACGAGCAATGCTTTGGGGGTTGGAGTGCGCAATCGCTTGTAAACATCGAGTGCGCACTCCCGAAACATAATATTGTATTGAATTATCTTCATCACACATTACTTTCTAGACAAGACCTGACAGCAAGGAGCACAACTACAAGAGAACAACATCCCAATGGGTGTATCTGTGATTTTTCACTAACTTGCTTTGTTCCCAGTTACCCTTCTGCACATAGAGCCCCATAGAAGTTTAGATCCCTAGAGGAGAAGTTACTGGAAATTATAGTGAATCATCATTCCTGCCTTTGAGACCATTTCTGCTACTTCTCCAGTGAGTGCCTTTGGTGTAAACATCACACTGTAGCAATATGGAAGAGATCTTGCATCAGAAGAGGACCAATGCCTTGAGTCACACCAATTGTGTGGTACAATGTTAATAGAGCCAGGGGCTGGATTCCAGAATGCACCTGTCTCCTTTCCAGGTGAAGCTGGGTATGTCTTTTTCTGAATGGGGAAAGCCACTGGCATTCCATCTTGTGAGAGTGCCTTAACTCTTTCTGTTGTTCTTGTTTAGAAACAGGAAGGGGAGTGATTCAGGTTTATGAATTATTCATCGCCTCGTTCTGCTTCTGGCGCCACTGATGTCCGAGCCCTGTGGATGATGGACTTCCTGCTTCTATTCCTGATGCTCCTGGTGTCCCAGCCAGTCTGTGGGAAGCTTAGAATAAAGTGCCCGCTAAGTTTGGAGGAGGAAGATAGAAAAAAACCATGGAGCTATTATAGGCCAGGAGACCATCTCATTAGTCTGATCACCACTGCAACAATAATATCTGATTTAACATTTCCTTTCAATGTGGCTCCTTATACACAGTCAGATTCGTAAGTCATTCAGTGTGATAGAGTTGCATTCCCTCCATTTGCAGTTCTAACACTTTCTCTTTTCTTCATATTTTACTTACTCTTAGAGGAATATTTCAGGACCTTTTTAATTTCCTGAATTGTTCTGATTTCCATGGCTTCCCCTTTTTATCTTCTTTTTTGTAAGAGTCTCAAATCTTTATTTTTATTTATTTATCGTACGTATTAGGTAATATATATAAGTATAAGCATGGATTGAATACATAAAATGAATACAAATAAAGGGAACATTAGGACAGGGACGGTAGGCACACTGGTGTGCTTATGCATGCCCCTTACAGACCTCTTAGGAATGGGGTGAAGTCAACAGTAGATAGTCTTAGGTTAAAATTTTGGGGGTTTTGGGATGAAACCACAGAGTCAGGTAGTGCATTCCAGACATTGACCACTCTGCTGTGGAAGTCGTATTTTCTGCAATCAAATTCGGAGTGGTTCACTTTAAATTTGTATCTATTGTGTGCTTGTGTTTTGTTGTGGTTGAAGCTGAAGTAGTCATTGACAGGTAGGACATTATAGCAGATAATTTTATGAGCTACACTTAGGTCAGATCGAAGGCAGCGTAGTTTTAAGTTTTCTAAGCCCAAAATTTCAAGTCTGGTAGCATAGGGTATTTTGTTGCGAGCAGAGGAGTGGAGGACTCTCCAAAGATGTCTAAAGAATCCAAAGATGTGACAGAAAAATATCTGAAACATGTCCAGGTTATTTTCCTCTCCCCATCCAGTCCTTCATTCATCACTTGAATACTGACTGTTTGTATAGTAATTATTGAAAGGGATGTAGTTGCATCTGCTCAGCCCATTTCCATATTTTTATAACTAATCATTGATATTCAAAGCCTGATCCTTATAAAAACGAGGGTTGATTTGATGTTTGAGTTTCTTTTCTGGGTCACTTCTGAAACATCCTCTTCATTTTATGATGACTCTACTTTTAATTATTGAATGCTGGTTATTGAAGAAATGAAAATTAGGATTGTTACAAATAATGATTCTCTGCGTTGGTGATTCTTAACCCTGGTGGAGGATTATCTACATATTCTCAACACTCATAAAAATTAAATGGTGATGGGAGGTGGCTCTGATTGTGAATCAGTATTGTCCTAAATAGGAGGCAAAGAGGAATAAATAACATGTTTAATTGTTTCTGTTAACGATGATGACAATAACATGAATATTTTTTACAGTAGTTTATCTACTGATCACTCTAGAATCGTCTACTACATTTTTGCCATTCAAGTTATAAATAGGGATCCCCAACTTCTGCATAATCTCACACTTGGCTACAACATCCATGACAACTATTTGAACACACTTGGCACTTCAGAGGCCTTGCTGGACATGCTCTCAACAGGAGAAGCCAATGTTCCCAACTACAGCTGTGGAAGGAAAGACAACATTTTGGCCCTTCTTGATGCAGCTGATAGGGATGTTTCCATCCAGATGTCAACATTAGTAGGCACCTACAAGGTCCCACAGGTTTGTGTGTATGTTTCTCTATCTGGTAAAGGGAGTGAAGTGGTGGTGAGTGAGCAATAGATCCAATCATATTTACTCTATGGAATTCAAGAGCTTTTTTTTTTATCATGAAGAGAAATAATAAATAAATACATATATACATAAATACATATGCACATGAATAAAAATCATCTTAACGAAAATAATGGTATTTTCAATGGTTTATTTATTTATTTATTTGTCAAGCATATATAATATTACATATAAAAGTATAAACATGATTGTAAATACATGAGATGGTTAGGAATAAAAGGGGGCATTAGGACAGGGAGGGTAGGCATGTTGGTGCACTTACGCACGCACCTAAAAGACGTCTTAGGAATGGAGTGATATTTTGATAAATATTGGATACCAGGAAATAAGCCATTAATTAATTCAACGTTGAATACCCACAAATAAGAAGTACTCAACTATACATTTACACAACAAATCTATCATGCTGGGCAAAAACTCCAAACACTCCACTACCAAACACCCACAAAAGAAAGATATCTCTACCAATGATGATCAAATGACTCCTGCACATGCTTTAAATGTTCTGAAACTATCAAAAATAATGAGAATATCATAAAATGCTATCTATGTGATATATGTATATGTATATGTATATGTATATGTATATGTATATGTATATGTATATGTATATGTATATGTATATGTATCCGTATACGTATACGTATATGTATAAGTATATGTGACGAGTATGTATATGTGATGCTTATGCATGCCTCTTACAGGGCATGGGATGAGATTGACAGTCGACGGTCTAAGGTTAAAGTTTTGGGGGTTTGGGGAAGAAATCACAGAGTCAGGTAGTGCATTCCAGGCATTGACCACTTTGTTGCTGAAGTCGTATTTTCTGCAATTGAATTTAGAGCAATTTACCTTAAATTTGTATCTATTGTGTGCTATTTGTATCTATTGTTGTGGTTGAAGCTGAAGTAGTCATTGACAGGTAGGGCATTGTAGCAGATAATTTTATGTACTACACTTAGGTCAGCTATGGTGAGCAAAGACTATACTCATGGAAATAATTCCAATGGATTAGCTTATTTACAATTGATAAAAATATATGTCTAATAGAATCGTAGGGACCCTAGCATTAATTATTCATTTTATAAAAATGAAAACACTTTAGCCAAGATGTTATTTTTACCCTAATATGTTCATGTTCAAATTTGTCAAAAAATCCACAGTAGAGTCCCTGGAGAGAACTCAACTAGCTACTGGCTGAACTATTCAAAAAATTACTCAACTGATAGGTTTTTCTACTGACATGTTCATTTAAAGAAATAATATACCTGTCATATATTAGCTGGGTGGAAGATGGCAATAGTAATTTACACACACACACACACACACACACACACACACACACACACACACACACACAACTTAGTTTCCTCTTGAGCTGAGTTGAGAGTGGACAAATGTCCATGGAGAATGTCAGTGATTCAGGTCATGGTTGTCCAAAGGGTGCTTTTCAAAAGGCAACTGGACTTCTTTTGTTTTTTGTTTTCCTTGAAAAGATTTCATTTCTCATCAGTCAGAACTAAAGGAAATTCTTGGACGAGAAGTTAAATGTTTTCAAGGAAAAAAACCAAGGAAGTCCAGCTGTCTTTAAAAAAGCACATTTGCGCTGAGAGTAGGTAGATGAAAAGTGCATTCCTTCCATTTAAACAAGTAAATTTTAGGCACTGTTGACAACTTTCTCTTTAGCCATCTAACTACAAAATATATCACTCAGGGAAACAATTGTTTTCTGTCTTCTTAGAGGAAATCGATTGCCCTTACAATGCAAGACTGCTGGTCCTGATCTCTTTACACAAGCACTGGTTATAGAGTGTGGTTTGGGCTCAATGGAGCCATGAGAAGCTGGATTGAGTTTTGCCAAGGGGTGAGACAAGGGGGCATACTTGATTGCTATACAGTCTAGAGCAGGGGTCGGCAACCCATGGCTCTGGAGCCGCATGTGGCTCTTTCATCCCCCTCTGGCGGCTCCCTGTCTCCGGTCGGCTCCAAAATTGATAGGGCTTTTTGGTTAGGACAGGTAGAGGAAAAAGGACGCTGTGCTAGGAGGAGACTCTATGGTGGGGGAACCGGACTTCCGGTCAGCAGAGGAAAAAGGATGCCATGGTAAAAGGAGACTCTATGGTGCAGAAACTGGACTTTCGGTCAGCTCCAGAATTGAACTGGGGTCTTCTGGTTAGGACCTTTGTGGCTCTTTGAGTGTTTAAGGTTGCCGACCCTTGGTCTAGAGATTAACAATTTACCAGGACTAACAAATACACATTCCTAAGGCACAAAACACTTACTTGAAAACATTACTATATGCTTATGGTATGTTATTATTATACTCACAAGTTGGGTTGGGTTGGCTATAAAGAAGATTAGACTCCTAATCTCATAATAATTCTCTCAGTATAAATAAATCAGATAAGTTAAAAAGTTATGTTCTTTGGAGAATGATATCACAGCAGTAGACACATTTCTTTATCAAGTTATTTTTGTCTGAGACTGGATCTTGGGTTCCTCATTATCAAAGGAACTCACTTTAAAGCAAGGGCAGATTTACTGCAGATTCAATTTACTGCTAAAACAGAAAAAAAAAATCATAGATATCCATCTTCCTTAGCCTCAGTTAGTAAGTTATAAATTTATACAAGGCCAAGATTGCCCCAATTCTTTTACATGGAGCTGCAGCTTGGGACGTCAAATGGATATCACTACTAGGACAAACCAGTGGTGAAATTCAATATTTTTTTACTACCGGTTCTGTGGGTGTGGCTTGGTGGGCATGGGGAAGGATTCTGCAAAATCTCCATTCCCACCCCACTCCAGGGGAAGAATACTGCAAAATCCCCATTCCCACCCCACACCTGGGGGAAGGATATTGCAAAATCTCCATTCCCACCTCACTCTGGGGCCAGCCAGAGGTGGTATTTGCCGGTTCTCTGAACTACTTAAAATCTCTGCTACAGTTCTCCAGAACCTGTCAGAACCTGCTGGATTTCACCCCTGGAACAAACCCAATCTCAGCATCTGAGAAGTATCTTATGAGGACTTCAGCTGATGCCCTCAGAGCCTAATTGGGAATTTATGCAATTGGTTCATTATCTAAAATCAGGCCATACAATTATTAGTGTAAAATTAAAGCTAAAAAAACCTGACAGATCCCCAAATATGTTTTGTTAGAACAGGTAAAATTTCAGTTAAAGACCACTT